GGGGGGGGGGGGAGCAGTAGATGAAAGAAGGTGAAGCGATTAGCCAAAGAACATATAGGCATAGCCCATGGACACAGAAAACATTGTGGTGAGGGACAGAGGGAGGAGGGGCGGGGGCTGGGTGGAAGGAAAGAAAGGGAGGGAAAATGAAGGACATCTATAATAGTGTCAACAATTGAAACAAAAAAAAGCAGTTCTCTAGAGCAGCAAAGATCTGGAGTCCATAGTTGAAACTTATGTATAGGATATGTGTGTGTGTGTGTGTTCCCATGTGATATATGTAAATATTTTTTAAAAGAAAGAAATTGTAAGATTAAACTAGCTGGTGTATAACAGTGTCAAGCAGAAGGTCTTGAGGTTATTGTTAAAATTTCACAATGGTTTTTGGTTAAAATATGATTAAGAATCACAGTTCTGTTTAAGAACCAATTTGGACCAGTATGAGAGCACTTGGCATTTATCCTCTCCCTTTTTGTCTTTCTTTTCCCTTTCTCCCTCCCCTCTCTTCTTCACAAGCAAGTTTGTGATTTATTTTTTAAAAATGCTTTCTTAGAAATTGAAAATAACTTTAAATATACTTGGAGGTGTAAAAAGTAGAAGTCTCTCTTCTTTAGTTTACTGGGATTCTTCTAGAGGTAGCGATATAATTACAAGTATCTAAATGTAGGGGGGAACCCTGTTTAAGAAGTTGATGTAGGAAATCATTGATTTAGACAGATGGTTATTTGATGCCTGCATTATTTTACTACTAGATCAGGGATTGGCAAACTTTTTCTATAAAGAGTCAGATAGTAAATATTCTACAAAGTTCATGACAAAGTATTATCTGGCCCAAAATGTCAGTAGTGCCACGGTAGAGAAACCCTATTATAGATTATTCCATTTCATCTCCTTTGTTAGTTTATTATCTGTAATTCTTGAGTTATTTTATTGGCTGCTTTAGGGTTTATAGTACACATCTTTAACTTACCACAGTTTACCTTCAAACAATATGTTACTCTTTCCATGTAATATAAAAGCTTTACAGCAGTGTATTTCTACTTTTCTCCTCCTGGCCTTTGTACTGTTGTAATACATTTTATGTCTACATATATTATAGACCCCACAATATATTATTATTTTACTTTAAACAGTTAATTATCTTTAAAATTTTTTTTAACAACTCTATTAACATACACAAGACTGCACATATTTCAAGTGTACAATTTGGTAGGTTTTGACATTGTATACACTTGTGAAACCATCACCACAATCAAAATAATGAACATATTCATCATCCCCAAAACTTCTTCCCTGCAGCATAGTGATTCCTCCTCCAACCCCAGGCAGTCACTGATCTGCTTTCTGTCATTATAGATAAGTCTACATTTTCTAGAATTTTATATAAGTGGAATTATAAACTATGTACTCTTTTTCTGTCTGACTTCTCCTATCCAGCATAATTATTTTGAGATGTATCCATGTTGTGTGTATCATTAGGAAAACATTCTTAATGACAGACATTGCAGGTAATTATACTGCTGTTATTAAAGAGCATGCTGAAGTTCAAAGTCACTTGATGTGTTCTTTGTTTTAGGTCATGACTGTCCAAGGTATGATAATCACCTGAGAGCACTCATTGCTGCAGATGTCATTTGTCCATCAGAAAATACCCATACAGCCAGATCCATCTTTTTATTGAATGGTTTAATGGATTTCCTTTACTCTAATTCATACCAAAGCTGTCCTCCTCAACCAAAGCACGAAAGGATCCTGCATGAATCAATCCCAGAATGCCATTTTTACATCACCAGCAGGTGAAGAAAACCTCATGAATAGCAATCACAGAGACTCAGAGAGCATCACTGGTGAGTCGAGTTTAACAAATATTGAAGTGCTGTTGCTTACAGGATAAAATGCAAATGCCTTAATTCAGCATATAAGATTGCCGTAATGAAACCCTGACCTCTCTTTCCAGCCTGGTCTTCTCAGAGAACAACTGACTTAGTTCATTCACCCCATAGTCTCCTATTATCAAAATCTGCCTTGTGTGCCATTCCTTGTGTGTGTCTGACTCTTCGTATGTGTGGGCCCCCGGTCAGCAGGAACTGTCATACTAGTCTTCCTAACTCCAAAGAGCAAGGACAGAGTTGCTTGTGTTTGTATACCCTGCGAGCACCTGACAAGAATACCTAGCACATAAGAGGTACTTGGGACATACAGAGTATACAAACGGGTGAAGACCTATAAGCCCTCATTTGCAAGGCTAAAGTAAAAAACTCTGAACACCCAAAGTTTTCTCTGAACTTTGGTTCTAAAACTCAGTCCACAAAACCTCACCTGTGCAGCTATTTCTAAACTTCCCTGACTTTAGTCCTACTTATGTTTGCTGAAAGTGTATTAATGTATTTAAGTATGGGGTGCTGCTATATAACCAGTTGGGTGGTGGTTTAACATAAAAATGTACAGTACTACTAGAACTCCAAAAATTCTGAAACCCATCTAAACCCAAAGGTTTTTTTTCCTGTTTTTTTTATTCAGCTTTATTAAGATATCTTTATGATGATACAATAAAATGCACTCATTTTACGTGTGTATTTTGGTTTTGCAAATATATATACTTATGTAAACATCAGTATAATCAAGTTGTAGAACATCTTTATTACCCCCAAAAGTCCCCTTGTACCCAGAACTCACCACCTTTTACCTCTGGCTTCAGGTAACCACTAATTTGCTTTCTGTCATTGTAAATAAAATTTGCTTTTTCTAGAATATCATATAAATTAATCTGTGTCTTTTGTGTCTGGCTTTTTTATGCCGCAAAATATTTTTGAAATTTATTCACAGTATGTTATGTGTCAGTAGTTCATTTGTTTTAAATACTTAGTTGCAATGACTCAGCTCTGTTGTAGTAGAAAAACAGCCATAGGCAATATATAAAAGAACAAATGTGATTGTGTTCTAGTAAAACTTTATTTTAAAAACTAGGCAGAAGCAGCAGGCTGGAGTTGGCATGTGGACCTTAGTTTGCTGGCATCTACAATATCGTCACTTGGTAATGTCAGTGGTTTTTATTTTAGCCATTCTAATAGCTGTGTACGGTTATCTCTTTATGGTTTTAATTTATTTTTCCCTGAGGACTAGTGATGTTGAGCATATCTAGATCTTATTTTGAGTTGCCTACTCAAATCATTGACTTATTTTTAAATTGTCTTACTATTGAATTATAAATGCTTTTATGTATTCTAGATGTAAATTCTTTTTTATTTTTAAAAAAATTTTATTGAATTTCCTGGAGTGGCATTGTGTAATAAAATCATACAGGTTTCAGGTGTACAATTCTATAATACATCATCTGTATATTATATTGTGTGTACACCACCCAAGTCACGTCTCCTCCCATCACCATTTATTCCCCGGTTACCCTCTTCTACCTGCCCCATGCAAGTCCATTTTCAGATAAATGGGTTGCAAATATTTTCTCCCAGGCTGTGGCTTCCCTTTACATCTTAACGGTGTCTTTTGAAGAACAAAAGTTTAAAATTTTGCTGGAGTCCAGTTTATCACTTTTACAGTTCATGTTATTTGTGTCGTTTCTAAGAAATCTTTGCATACCTCAAGGTCACAAAGATTTTCTCCTTTGTTTTCTTTTAAAAGTTTTGCTTTTAGCCCAGCCGGGCGTGGTTCAGCAGTTGAGCGTCGACCTAGGACCCAGGCGATCAGGGTTCGATTCCCTGTCAGAGCACATGCCCAGGTTGTGGGCTCAATCAATGACTCTCTCATCATTGATGTTTCTATCTCTCTCTCTCCCTCTCCTTTCCTCTCTCTGAAATCAGTAAAGATATATTTAAAAAAAAAAAAAGTTTTTGCTTTTACATTTAGGTNTTTCCTCTCTCTGAAATCAGTAAAGATATATTTAAAAAAAAAAAAAAGTTTTTGCTTTTACATTTAGGCCAGTGGTTCATTTGATAATTAATTTCTTGCTTTTGTTCCCTCAAAGTAATGTCTTTTTTTCCCTCTCTGCTTTTAAGATTTTCTCTTTGTGTTTTCTTTGTTTACTCTTTTTGAGTAGTTCAGCTTCTTTGACTATGAATTTAGTTTTAATTAAATTTGAAAGATTTTGGCCATTATTTCTTCAAATATTTTTTCTGCTCCCGCCTCTCTCTTATTCTGTGCCATGTATATTAAACTGCTTGATATTGTGATACAAGCCACTGATGCCCTGTTCATTTTTTCCCCCAGTCATTTTTTTCTCTGTATGTCATTTTAAATAGTTTTGTTGCTCTGTCTTCAAGTCTACTGTTTTGTTCTTCTGGAGAATATGTAATCTGTTAATGTAAATCAGTAAACTTTTCGTTTTTGGTACTGTACTCTAGTTCTGTTTGCATTTTACAAATATAGAAATATTTTCTGTTTCTCTTTTCATCAAATTATGTTTTCCTTTTAAATCTTTGAGCATATTAGTAATAGCTGTTTTAAAATTGTTGTTTACTAATTTTATCATCTTTGTCATTACTGGGCCTGTTTCTGTTGACTCATTTTCCCACTGCTATTGGATTACAATTCTTTGTGTACTTAGTAATTTTTTATTGAATGCTGAACATGATGAATGTTATATTATTAGATGTTTGGATTTTGTCATCTTCCTTGGAAGACTTAAAGGTTATTTTGGCAGGTCCTTAAGTTACTTACTGATAAGGTGGATCCTTTTGCGGCTTGTTTTTAATCTTTGTTATATGGGACTGTAGATCATACACTAGACCATACTCCTAGTATGCTTTATTCTAGCATTAATTTAACCCCACTACCAGTAAGCATGACCCTTCTAGAATCTTTACTGGTTGTCCCAGCTGTTCATGAGGTTTGTCTGCTCTGGCTAGGTGAGATTCAGACCTCAGCCTTGTGTAGGAGGGTGATGGAATGAAGATAGGAAGATGTGGAGGGAAATTTGAATGTAATGAGGGCAGACAAGTTTTGAGGCCATATTCAGGAGGAACTAGAGAAGACCTTGAACTTAAATGGAGGCAAGGTGGCTGGAAAGAAGTGTGTATGTGAAAGAAACATTTGGAGAATAAAGTGGTAGAGAGGGGATTGTTAAGATTGGACAATCAGGAGAATAGGAGTAGTAGATTATCAGAAATACAGAAGCAAAAGGAAGAACTAGTCTAAAGGATATTCAGTTTAATCTACTAAACTTTGTATTCTCATTTATAAAATTACTTTTTGGAAATAGGGAATTTGTAACCTTGGCTTTTCATAGAATTTCATTAATGCTTATTAGAAAATTTCTAGGTAATAGTAGCTTTTTAAATGTTACTTTGTTCTTCATTTCCACCATACCCTTGAATGCCTAAAAGTCCCTTTTTAATTCTGCATGTATTTATAATCAACTTCTCTTCTTGAAAGTATTACAGTGACCTATATGAGATATATTTGTGGCAGGAAAAATTTGGATAATCGAATGGAATTCATAGAAAGAGAATTTGTGGTTTTAGGGCTCTTATTTAAGACATTTGCTAAGAGCTTCTTTAGAACCATATTTAAGGTTTTAAATGTACCTTATCTTTGTGGTTATAAAGCCACAGCATGTCCTTCTAGGTAGAAAAGGTTGTCTAATAATGTCAGCCTCCTTGTAATTGATTTATTAAATTGTTATTGTTAAGGTCGAGTAGTAGAAATTTACTCTTTTAGGATATGTTTTCACTTTGTTGTTCTTTGCCAGAATTGGGACATGTTTCTTTATACTACCCACAAAGGAAATACTAGATCCCTAAAAAAGTGAGAGGGTTGGTGTGACGTCCTGTATTTTCTCTATTTTGAGCCCTAGTATTTTAAGCATATTACAAGGGGTAACTTTCCTTTTCTTGTGACTAAATTTGGGAGGTATTCAGTGATGCACAGTATTTGGAACAGAAATCCAGGAGCACACAAGTAAAGGCAGAGAAGCTTAGGTGAGTTTAGAGATATAAATGAGGTGGGGGAGTTAGAGGTGGGCAGGTGAGAGAGTAGTTGTGTGGAAGGAATTCAGGACTTTGAGTGTACCACATCTTTCAAATAAAAATAATGAAGTGCTTAATTCAGTACCAGTGCAGGAACACTGTGCTGGAATGTTAACATTACTGGTTAATACTTAATCAGTAAATGTTAATTTTTTAATATCTAACTGATTTTTCCAGATTTTGAAGAATCCTCCCACAGAGTTTAAATTCTTTTACTAAAGAACATGTAGTTTTATTTCTTTAGAACTATTTTCTGCTGATTGTTTTGTGCTGTCTTTTTTAACCCAAGCATATAAATTATTTGAGATGAGATCTCTTTTAACCAACACCAAATAGATTAATAAGGAAGAAATAAGAAATTTATCTAAATTTATTTTAAACTTTAAAAACATATACACTAAGCAATATATTTTTAGATATTTGTGGTATTATTTTTACTGTAGAAGTTCCCATATTAAAGAAACCCAGAGAAAAGACCAACTATAGTAACAGGATACATTAGTAAAAATCAGTGGAGAAATGATCTTGGCTAATGTGTCTTTGATTTTCTTACTTTCACAAAGCTAATTTCACTGACTTTTCTCTGTAGCCCAGTAATTGAAATATATCAAATTCATTTACATGGACTCTCTTCTTTAGATGTCTGCTCCAATGAGGATCTCCCTGAGGTTGAGCTGGTGAGTCTGTTAGAAGAACAGCTACCCCAGTATAGACTGAAAGTGGACTCGCTCTTTCTATATGAAAATCAAGACTGGACTCGGTCCCCACACCAGCAGCATCATGCATCTGGTGCCCTCCCTCCAGTCGTTGCTGAAGAGACTTTCCGTTATATGAGTGAGTATTTTTTACCCTTTTAGAGTTTGTCCATTGAAATAATAATCATGAGTATCTTGGTGTTGATTTTAAAAGTGTTTGACATCCCTAGCCATTGTTCAGTGATGATTCCAATTGTTTTATGTCTGAATGCGAACATTTGTCATTCTTGGGACTCTGAGTGTCCAGGGTTGCAAGCGTCCTCAGGTGTTCCCATTCCTCCCACCTTTTGCTTGATACTTCCTGAGACTGAGAAGGGGACTTTTTTTAAAAAAGTAGTGAAATAATTTAAAAATTTATAATTCCTTTGTATCTCTTGACATTTATTGTCCCAGTAGTTTGACATCCCAAGCCATCAGTTCTTTTACTCTTGTCTTCCCTGTTAAACACAGTCACAGGAACTATGTCAGTCATTAAGAAGCATAGTCCTTAGATACATACGTAGTTTTAATAATGCCAAGGAGAAATAAGTGTACATTATATATTAATCTTCATTATTAAGAATTCATAGGGAATATTTCAGTGAAAGGCTAAACCAGATTTGTTCTGAAAATAAGTCTGTTTTACACCAAGCTCTTAGAAATGACAAAATTGAATACTTTTTAAACTAAGGTATGGAGACCTTTTTGCTTTTGGCCTCATTCCAAAGATCTATATTCAGGTTGGACTTACTTTTTTCTTATTGCCTATAAAAATGTAATGTGTATAATAGCTATTATAATATATAATAAAAGTCTGTAAGTTCAGTGTTGATATGTTTGTGAAATTCTTTTCATTTGAATTAGATATGAGGTTACATCATTTCATAGACATTTTCCCAGTGAGTGCTTCAGTGCTTTTAAAGATTGTGCCTGGAGAATGATTGTTGCAAAAGAACTCATTTTCATAGTAATCATTAACTTGCTTTTAATAGTAGTTTTCTAGAACAAGGTTACTCACTGCTCAGAAAAAGAATTCTAAACATTTTTTAAACTTGAATTGGAACATCAAGAAACAAACTGTATTCCCGTCCTCAATAATTTTTTTTAAATAGCTGAATATTAAATAGGGCTCTTAAGGTTTTTCTAACTTTCTAGTTTAAGAGGTTGCTTGCTTGAGATTTTCTGGAAAATGCTTTTTAAGAGCAACACTATTTTTTATTTCCATTTCCTTTTGTTCCATGAAGTTTTAGATTTGTGAGAAGAAAATATCAAACTGAAATTTCATCACGATAAATTTAGTTGGTCATTGTTTTGATAAAGTGGCACAGAAAGTATCCCTTAGTTACATTCTTTGTCCTTTAAGTCACGGGGTATGCAGGCACTGAAGCTAGAAAGATGCCTTAGAGATTTAATGGAGTTATTTTTAGGATGAATTTTAAATACAAAACTGGAAAATAAAAGATAAAGAAATTTCAAAATATTTGGTTTTCAGGACTTTATACAAAACAAACCATAATGTTCAAGGGAGCAATTTAAAACTTGAGATTAATAGGATGATACAGATCTATCCTTCCAGGTTCTGGAAAAAAACTCCTATTCCTTTAGTGGAATGGTGCTATTTTTAGTTTAATTTTAAAATTAAACTATATACTGCATGTTGGTATGCCTAAGATCATGAATCAGATAAACTGGGATTATAATTGGTCCACTAATACTTTATCTTTGTACTGTACTTTAATTTCACTGTTATTTTAAAGGTATCAGTTCTTTGGGTTAACAGTTCACTCATATATAAATAACTTGCATTATGAATTTGCACCTTACGAATGTAAAAGATAAGTGACTTACTTTATTTAGCAAATTGACCAACATTTTAAAAAGTAAGATACAAAACATTCTCTTACCCTTTTGCACAGTTTTCTATCCCCTCGTTATTTCAAGATTGGTGGTTTTAAATAACTATGTTCCCTGGCAAACCATCCTTGGGTTCAGCTCCCTGGTGCTACTTCAGCCTCTTCTTATCCCTACTTCCTGCCCATGCCAGCAAATACTGCGTTCCTTAAAATGAATTTTAACAACCAATAAAAGAAGTGACACATTCTCTCTTATATAACTTAAAGAAATTGAAAGAGCTATGAGAAGAAAATAAAGAAGTTTGGAAGGACACATGGGCAGGGTTTTGGGTTGGGAGCCTGTCTCACATGAATGATACTGGTTGTTCCGTGTAGCTCCCACCAAACAAACCAGGAACAGGTTATTTATTTTTAAAACAGAATACGAGAACAATGGATGGATCCAAAAAACAAAATAATTTCCATCTTAGTCCCCACCATCCACACACAAAGTTTAAGCTACTCAAAAGGTGGTTTTGTATGCAGAACAAGTGACTCCAGGGTTTTTCTTAATTTTTATTAAGAGTGAGACCCAGAGTGAGCTGTGGGGTGAGCAGTGCAATCAGCACACATGACAGAAAGTGCTATTTGTTCATGTAAAGGCTCAAAACAAAAACCTGAGATGCGCTGTACCACTTCCTAATGCATAAGAAAAAGGGTAGGGAGAATGATTGATTATATATGTTTTATTTAAGGTATCAGTGTCACTTAGGAATTTGCGTAAATTCTTTGCGCCCCCCCCCCTCCAGATCTAGAAAATCAGAAACTCTGGGGATGGGGCACAGCGGTCTGTTTTAACAAGTCTTTCCTCATAATGCTGATGCACACTCAGATTTAATAACCACTGTCAAACAAAGCTAGATGGCCATTATAAAGTGACATTAATTGGAGACTTTAAAGATTAGGAATACAGTTTTGCAGAGAAATACATTGTAGAAAGTATTACTTGTGGTTGGTAGTTAACACTTTTCGTCAAGCTCTGCTCTCAAAAATTATTGACCTGTATTTTCAGGAGAGGAAATATAACTGATAATGTTCAGGAAGCATTAACCATATTCAGGTCGTAGAGATGAGCAGATATATAATTTCTTAAGTCAGCCTTCTCAACCAGTTCCACAAAAGAATTAAGCCACATTCCCTAAAACATTTATGTATAATGGATTACCTTATCACCTATGCATCATGTGCTAGCTAAGTATTATCCTTGAGAGAATCAAGAAAATTGTCCCTTAAATCATTACCTGTAGGCTTAATTCTCCTGGGAGCCCTGCTGAGAAAGGTTGCCCTATATGGTATATATCATCAGTCTCCTTTTTATTCTGTCTCAGTTCTTTTGATGGCAGTTGTTTTGTGTTGCAGAAATGTTCTCTATTATAACAAAAAGAGCTGCTGTTATTTCTTAGGGCTTAAAACCTCAAGACTTGTCTGTGGTTGTCAGGAGTTATTGCAGCTTTTACTATACCACGTGGTTGATGTTTTTGAGTTTCATTTTTGTTTTTTGTTGGTTTTTGTTTTTTGGTGTGGGAGGATTGGAGAATAGTGAAAGATTAGAAGTCTTTTTAAAATCTAGTAGTTGTGGTAAAAACTCTAGATCTTGAAAAAAGGACATCTGAGAAAACAAGCATCATCTCATATAAATGAAAGATATCAAAATGGATTAACATTGGCAGTTTTCATCCTGAAAAAAAGTGAGGTTGGGGTAGTTGATGCAGAGTAAAGTAAGCATGAGTGAAGTGCTTATGTATATTACCCCCCACACCCATTTTTGTTTTTCATGAACATCAGATTCTCTAAATATTACACCAAAAATGTTAAATATTAACAACCTTCCAAAACCAAGTTACAAAATTGTTCTATAAAAAAAATGTTTATCTAATGTCAGTTATTATCTCCCTGATATATAAGTTTTTTTCAGAGAATTCGGTTAGGGAAGTTCCTATCTGGAAACAAGCAAGAAGCATTGCTAATTTCTGTACTGTTTAACGTATTTCTAGTTTAACAGCTGAGAACTGAAGGGAAAATAGGATTTGATAGGAGTGATTATAATGAAGTCAGCCTGCTTGACTGTCTCTTCATTCCTGGTTAGAGAATTGCAGTGAATAATCAGTCTATGGTTTTAGAAGCATTTAATCACAATGCTTAAATGCCAAGAGAACACTTGAGAGCTTGGCCTTGAATACTTTTGAAACCATCCCAAGCAACATGTCTTTATCAGGAATATTGTGATAAGGAAGAGAGGACAGAACTCATTAGGCTGCAGAGAAAAATCCATTTTGTTCCTTCCTATATGTTTTGTGACTGACATCAATTGAGCAACTCTGTAATTGAGCTGGCTCAGCTTTTGGGGCTTGGTAATATATAGACTCCTTCACATAAAACATAAGAATTGGAGAATTCTGGTTGCATTATCTAACTTCTTTGCCATAATAAATTTTTAAGCATTTAAGGTTAATCAAAGAACTTATATGCATATATGCATGACCCATAGACACAGACAATAATGTTGAAAAGGCCTGGGGAGGGGGAGGGGGCAGATGCCGGGTAGAGGTGATCAATGAGGGGAAAATGGGTACATCTGTAATATTTTCAATAATAAAGATAAATTTTTTTCAAAAATTAATTTTTGCTTTTTGAAACCTCTTAAGAGCTGCTTTTTTTTTATTGCAAAGATAACATTTGTTCTTCATAGAAAATTGGCAAAAAAAATGAAGCACAAACAACAGATCAGCTATAATTTCTACCCAGGGATAACCACTGTTAGCATTTTAATCTATATCCTTCCAGCCCCTCTTGTATATAGATATGCTCACACTTTAAAAAACAATATTGGGATCTATGCTGTTTTGATCTTGGTGGGACTGGTAGAAACAGTAGGATGGTGTTAGAGCCCCTTACTGGGAATGAGCAGACCCAAGTTTTATCTTATGACCTTGTGAAATGGGGATTGTATCACCTCATTATTATCCTGGCTTTGCCACTAATGTAACACAGTCTCAGTCAAGATTCCTCATATAAGAAAATAAGATCATTAAACGAGATTAACTTCTTAAGGTTCAGCTTTAAATTCTCAGACTATGACAGATGGTAAGCATTTATAGCAAATTCATTTTAGTTTCACCTCACTAAAACATGTTTTATTCTAAACATTTCTCTTACGTATTACTGTGTCCTTCATTTTCTCTTCCTCTTTCGTCTCGTGTGACTTGTAGCTCACAGCTGTTTTTACATCCTTAACTTACTGACTTTGCTTCAAATTAAATCTGCCACTTAATTTTTAACTGTGCACATAATATAAGCCATGTCATGTATTTTTTAAATTAGTTGTATAAAAATTGTTTTTAGCTGAGTCTTATTATTCTAAAAATAAAAGGCCAAGGAAAGAAACAATAAGCATTTATTTGAGATCAGAAAGAATAGTTGTTCAGGAAGCACTGATTCAGGCAGATTCAGGCAGAAACCCAAATAGTGTTCCAATTATGGGGTGAAGGCAAGGGGTTTTTATGAGAAAGGGAAGGGAAGTAATTACATGAATAGAAGGAAGGAATTTCTATTAATGCTAATAAGCCAAGGAAGGAATTTCTGTAGGTGCAAATAAGCTAAGTTATTCTTTAGCTATACATGGTGCTAATTCTAAAGAATCTCCTTAAATTTTTAGTTCTGTAGTCAGGAGGTCAGCTATCCTGTTAGCTTTATAAATAGTTATTTGGAAGACAATGCTGCTGTGGCCCAGTCTAGCCCAGTCCAAAGGTTATTTTGCTCAGTTCAAACATTGCAGTGCAGTTCCTCTGGGATGGCTGCCCTGACTACGCTTTAAAATGGCTCCATGTATGCCAACTTTTCAGTCTCTAGGATTCCTGGTTCTTCCTTTCAGTGTTGATCCTGGACCTGTTCCTTTCATCCCTAGCTCCACATCACAACACCTGGGCATCTTACTACCTGTGCCCTGGGTTGCCTCCAAATCAATTACATCAGACTCTGGAGTTGAGACCCACTGCCCTAGGTTAAATTTGGTTTTGCAGCTATTGGCTGGTTTTCTGTGATTAGTTTAGAGCATAGATATGTTGATTTGATTTTGTTCCCCTCTCATCTTATTATCAAACCAGAAACAGAGGAGACTACACACTGTATCTGCCTTATTTTTACTCCTTTGTACCTGCTATACTACTAAACTGTGAAGATTTCTTAGGCGCCAGAGCCTGTTTCCATTATCCCTGTGGTTAAATTATGGAGCCAGTTTCTCTGCTTGTAAATATAAATTCTTTTGGAGTAAAAATGTTTCTTTTTAGTTTTTTGTTTTGGGTAGTTTTTGTTTGTTTTTTAGTTTTCTAATATTCAGTTTAAAACTTTTTTTTAAGCCATCTCCTAATACCATTAGTCCAGCACTTTGTTTTACTTTTAACTAAGAATAAGATTATCATTAATAATTAAGGTCTAGGCAATTCCCAGATTCACTTTAAGCAATGATGCTAGGAAGAAAAATTAAAAGCTCAGATAAAGTAAACATGTCTAATGATGTCTTTTGGGCAACTTCAAGTATTAAGATGGGACTAAAGAACTACAAATAACTTAAATCATAGTATCTGCTGCCAACTCAGTGAATTGTTTGCAGAAAATTTAAAACCAGGGCTACTTCATACATACCAGTTGTGTTTAAAGAGTAATAACTGTAATTAGTTGTATGATACTCAGAAGTTTTGCTCAATAAATTATATTTGAACCTCCTAATAACCTTGTGAGATGAATGTTATCACCTCCATATTATAAATACAAAATCTGAATCTCAGAAGGGTTAAGTGACTTGGTCAAGCTCACTCAAACATGCGAATTCAGCTTCTCTGCTCCAAAGTCTCTTATTTTTTCTTCAAGACAAACTATTTGTAAAAGCCAAAGTCAAACACAAATCTGTATTATGTAGTGTACTCCAAAGTGAAAAGATTCCCTTTGTATTCTGCATCATCTTTAGCTTAAAAAGATATTGCTTATTGTGACTGTGGAATCACTGGAGTCATATTTGTCCTTCTCTTTGGAGCTAACTTATCCAAGTGCATTGGCAGTTCCTGAGTTTATGAAATGCAGAAGTACTGGGCTTGAATTATGCAAGTAATATAGTATACAATGCATTTTTATAGCATTGGCGTAGATATGAAGATTATAATGGGTTTTTAATTAACCTAGAAATGATTATGGTTCAGAACAGAGCTACAAAAAGTCCTACACGTCCTATTCCTTGTTTATTGATATTAACTCATGATAGGTGGTGATATTCAAGATAATCACAACAGAATTCTAGTTGAGCTCCTTTGTAACAGTATAACCTCTCATAACTCACCCCTCAGTAACTTTAATTTAGATTAGGATATAAAACAATTGGTCATTTAATGCATTCTCCCAGCCCACATTCTCTAGTGTGAGTGGGCCACGGTTCTAATCCTACCAAGGGGGGAGGAGAGAGTCAGGAGATGACTGCCTTGTGATCATTTGATACTTTCTTAATTTATTGTATGACGTACATTTGTTTGTAATAATTAATCTATTTCCAGATTGTCTGATACATGAAACATTTCCTTCCCCTTTTTTAACATATATTTTTATTCTCCTAAATGGCTTTTTGTAAAAGCCTGGATTTGTTGTTGTTATCATTCATTTCTTATGAATAGTTAAAATGATCTGTTATTTCTGAACCCTACAAACAGTTGTTTTTAACTATCTTAGTTCTAGGCACAGACAGGGTGGAGCAGATGACCAGAACTTACAATGACATCGACATGGTTACACATCTCCTGGCAGAGGTAGGAATATATCTTTTTCTTTCTCCAGTACAAGAAACTAAAACTTGAAGATCATTTGGAATCTATCAAATTTTTATATAAAGTGAAAAATGATATCTTTGTCGTGGGTTATTTTGTCTAAGGTTGTTACAATTGAAACAACTGGCATTCCAAAACAGAATGGTCCCTGAAGTTAATTGTTATGCAGTTGTAGAAGATTTAGGGAGTTTTTTGTTTGTTTGGTTTGTTGTTTTTTTATTATAGCAGTGCTGGCTGGCTTCCTTGTCCTAAAAAAGTAGATGATGTCACTTAACCTGGAGCAGAACTGCCTATTCAAGAAACAGTTCCATTGCAAATCTACACCTGCAGTTTGGAGCATCTTCCCAAAGATTTTTGCTTTCAGTTTGGGTTATTTTTTGAGTTCACTTTGTCCATGACATTTTTAATATGTATAGTGTATCTTTTCCAATTGGTAGTCATAGAGGTGTCTCCTTAGACTTCGATTTCCGTTAATCTTATGGAATTCTTTCTTTTTGAAGTATCTCTTCTCCCTTCCCCTTCAGCTCCCCAGAATGATTTTGTATATGCCACTTAGACTACACTGACAAGGAGATTTGTGGGCTTTGAAATTTTGGAAATAACCCATCCACCTGTTTGCATGTACTATGGAGCAAAACAACAGAAGTTTAATTTTATTTATAGTGATTAATGTAAGCAGAACCCACACTCATATATAAGGCAGTTAAATGTATATTGACAGTTTTCCATCCTACAGAATACAATCCTTATCACCACCATGTAGGTGGGATTTCTGTGTTCTTATTAAGCATCACCATGTACCCAGAAAGAGTAACTCGTGTTTTGCTTGGCCTTTCTGTACATACCCCTGCATCATTACCACCAACTTCTGTAGACTCCCATTTTTTCTAACCTCTAAACAGAACCTTGTAGCTTCAAAACTTTCAGTCCTTTTTCCCCTATTTTGTTTCATATCATCGTTCTTGTGCTGGTTGACAATAGGGCTCTTGACTGTGCTTTCCTCCAAGCCTCTGGCTCTCAGTGCGTATTATCTTTGCCCTAAATGAAACTTTTTAGCATACCTACTTAATCTTATCTTAAATACCTAATTCTGTATCATTACCATCCTTGATAGGCAGATGCATTCAGTAGATATTTGTTGGGCCTTTCCTGTGTACCAGGCCCTGTCCTCAGTTTTAAAGACTCCATTGATTTTTCTAATTCCCTAAAGTTGTAAGTGTAGAGGTTGGGTTGCTGAATCCTAATTGATAGGGTTGATTAATCAATAAATTTCACTTGATATCAAGAAAAGAAATGCCCTCTTGCATTTATAACTGTGGTGGTCATCCATTTGACCAACATATATTAAACATCACCTGTGTGCCAGGCTTTCTGTTTATTTGGTGTCTGGGTGTTAAAATGAATCTTGATATTTGTAGAATGTTGCTTTTTGTGTTTAGCAAAAGTAACTGCAAAATCTCTAAATTATTTTGTTGGTACTCAAGGAGAAGTGTATTTTGTATTTTAACAGAGGGATCGTGATCTGGAGCTAGCTGCTCGAATTGGACAAGCTCTCTTAAAGCGAAATCATGTCTTGTCTGAGCAGAATGAAGCCCTGGAGGAACAATTGGGACAAGCTTTTGACCAAGTAAGTCTTTGATAAGTACTTGCAGCATGAAATAATTAGATATTGGGCAATGGAAAAATTTATTTTCCTGGGTGTCTCTGAATTGATGACAGTAAGTAGGTAAGTAACACCAGTACATGTGGACTTTTTTGGCAGCCATTGAACTAACCAGTAGAGGAATGAAATGATGCTATACAGAGGAGTGCTTATGTGAGTCTACCTTGGTCAATATAAAAGTCTGTATTCGGTACCTGTAGTACTTCTGGCACCCTGTGTAGATTCTAATATTTTATCCTTGCACCTTTGTGTGGACTTTGTACATGATCTTTTCTTAACTTTATTTTTAAAAAATATATCCCCAGCCTGGCTAACATGGCTCAGTGGTTGAGCATCAACCTATGATCTAGGAGATGGAGGTTCGATTCCCAGTCAGAAGGGCACGTACCTGGGTTGTGGGCTCCATCCCCAGTGGGGGGCATGCAGGAGGCAGCAGATCAATGACTCTCTCATCATTGATGTTTCTGTCTCTCCTTCTCCCTTCCTCTCTCTCTCAAAATCAGTAAAAACATTAAAAAAGTCTTATTAAAAAAAATTATATATATATATATATATATATATATATATATATCCCCAAATAATAGATACCCAAATGAAATATCTTTAGTGAAAAAGACAAACGAAAGGAAAAGAAATTTTTGAAAATGTATTTATTCCTAAGCAATAAATATTTTTAGCTAGAACTACTTTATGATTAACCTGAATAGTTAAATTTCAGTTTTTCTGTAATTTATTATTTTTATCTAGTTTCATTTATATTTTATAAGTACATTATATTTAATAACATTTGAACCTGTAGGTTAAAAATATGTATTCCCCAGAACTAAAGTTAGGGAGTGATGCAGTTATATAGCTTAAAAGTACCAACCTTTAAAAGGATGAGAATTTGAAGTACGCATCCATTCTGAGAGTTTGAAGGTTCTTCAGTTTTGTTTTTAACTGTGAATGTATCATTATCTTATGTGAAATTTCCTCCTATATTTCTATTATATAGAATATGAAAATTGGCTTTCCTTCTCACCTAGTATAGAAAAAGCTATATTTGTTGAGTTAATGCTCTAAAATTATAGTTCAGGAAGTATCTGAGGTTTATTATTCTCTTTTTAGCACTTGCTACTTTAGTCAGTAAAATCTAGCAGCTAATTATATTGTTATATGGTGAGAAATAATTGCTCCATGAATTAAAAGTTATATTACATATATTAAATAATACAAAATAAAGGACATCTTATAAATCAAGGCCTTTTGCTGTGCAGGTTAATCAACTGCAGCATGAGCTATCCAAGAAAGATGAGTTACTTCGGATTGTGTCCATTGCTTCTGAAGAGAGTGAAACTGATTCCAGCTGTTCTACACCTCTTCGGTTCAATGAGTCCTTCAGCTTATCTCAAGGCTTGCTACAGTTGGACATGCTGCAAGAAAAGCTCAAGGAACTGGAAGAAGAGAATATGGCTCTCCGATCCAAGGTACATTCCACCTAATTCCCAATTCCTTTTACCTTAAAGGCTATACGGTTTAAAGCCAGGTAGTATTGAGGTGAAATGTGGCGTAACTAAAGATTTGCTGTTGACATTGTAATTAGGGTGGCAGCCAAGACACATGCATTTATTTGCCTTCTGTTGTTTCTTAGGTCCCACTGAAAAGTGAATAATAGCAAGTTGACAGATGAAATAGAGAAAGCCACAGCATAGAATATGTATCCTGTGGAGTTTAAACAAATAACTAAATAAATGCAACTGTGATAAGAGCTATGTTGGAAAATTACAAGGCTCCTTGAGCTCGTATGATGGGGGTGGGGGTGAATCAAAGAAGCCCTATTTAAGCAGTGATATTTTTGCTGAGGTTGGAGATTAGCCAGCCAGAGATGTGCGTGGGGGTCTGGGCGGTGCAGGGATGAACAGGTGTTTATAGAGACCCTGAGAGGAATGAGGGGAGAGATTCGTCACATCCTTTTCCATACCTTTATTTTATGGTAGATAAAGCATAATGTGTTTTTTTTTCCTTTGTAAGTGATTAACTTTTATCTTCAAATGAGAGTTAAATGGCTTTTTTTAGTTAATACTGTAAAATAATTAGAAGATACCACTTTTTCTTTCTTTCTTTCTTGAAGGCTTGTCACATAAAGACAGAAACTATTACTTATGAAGAGAAGGAACAACAGCTTGTCAGTGACTGTGTTAAAGAACTTCGTAAGTATTAACATACTTGATTTGCCTTTGGCCAGTTCTTTGGTAGGATATGTCCAACTCAGAAATTAGATCCATGGTTTCAGTAGAAACATCTCAAGAAACAGTATTAAATAATTACTGAAGATTTTAGAATATCACGTTGAGCCCACAATTCTAAATAAAATACCATATGAACTTCTCAGAAATATATTTGTTTCATTTGCCATCATTAAGTGAAGGCCTATATTTCTATCAGTTATAGCATGTTAGAATGAAAGAAACCAAAGCTCTTATTTTGTTGATGAGGAAATAGTCCTGTAGAGAATGTGATATGTAAGGATCAGAAAACAATAGATAAGTGGCAGAGCCAGGTCTGCCATTCAATGAGTAACTTATTAAGTGCCAATTATGTGTCTATAAAGGAATATATTTTGATTTGATGTAATGTTAACTAAAATAATTTTAAAATAAATTAGGAAAAAATCAGCTTTACTAGAGAAAGATATTTAATTTCTCTATAAATATATAGCCTTTTGCGTTAAAAGAAAAATGTAATGTCACATCATTACATTTGGGCTGTGGGCCTCAGAATGTGATAACTTAGACTAACATAATATTAGAGAACTAGAAGGAATGTAAATTGAATATTCTCCGTCAACACTATCATTACCCACCCTTTACACTTTAAAAAACAAAGAAGAAATTACTTGCCCAAGAGCTCAGATTCAGGTCTCCTTCCTTCCTTGTTGCCATCCTATTAAATGTTATAGGCTTTCTGTCAATTAACAAATAATTTTATATGACACTGAGAAATAGTTCTGCCACTTGTGTTTAGATATCAAAGTTTTTATATGAAAAAAAGACTTATTTCCCCAGTGGAATTCTTAAGGTTTTATTTTCTGTGCATTCAAGAATGCTAGGCTGTAAGAATTGCTTTATAGGCCCTACTCAGTTTGCGAAGTATTCCGGGAAAACTCTCTCCTACAGAAGCATCTCAGTAGCTTTATCAATAGGTTCAACAGATTGTGACTGCTCCATTCTAGAAATGTTCCTGTGTTAGATTTGTTAAGTTTAATTTTCATTGCTTGTGGGAGTTTATTTACATCCCTGAAGAGTTCTCAAAGACATAAATGAGATTATGTCTTGGCACTTGCAAAGATACATAATTCATCTGTATCTTTTCAGCCTACTTGTCCTTCATAAAGAGGAAGATTTGAGCATGTATCTTTTTCATAATGAAAAAGATTGATGCAGAATCTTTAGCTTGCCTTTATAAGTCATTTCTTGTTAGCTTTATTGCCTCATATTCAATTCCTAAGATTAGCCTGTTTCAGAAGAATCTTTATTTTTTAAATTTATGTTAAAGAAAAATGTTATCTGTAGTAGTCCAGTGCTCGTTACAAAACAGGATTTGGCCCACAGGCTATAGTTGCCACCCCCTACCCTACGTTTATATTAATTTTTAAAGTTCTTATTTGTTTTCAAGGTGAAACAAATGCTCAGATGTCCAAAATGACTGAGGAATTGTCTGGGAAGAGTGATGAACTGATTCGATACCAAGAAGAGATCTCCTCTCTCTTGTCTCAGATTGTAGATCTTCAGCACAAACTTAAAGAAGTAAGTTCATTCTTTCATTCAGCAGATGTTTGTTAAGCACTGACCTAGTACCATGCACTGTGCTACGTGCTAGATTAAGAAAAATAAACACAGTCCCTGCCCTTTCAAAGTGCTTTAAACTAGTTACTGTTTTAGTCTTGTCTGTGTCCTGAAGTATGAATAACTACTTTCAAGTCATTATTTCTCTCCATAATGATACCTAACCCAGGTTCTGCTGCCTGCCACTCAAAAACCAATAATCAAGAGATGGGCTGGTAGAAGGAAGGTAGATTTATTTAAGAGCCAGCTGCCTGAGACTGGTGGACTTCTGTCACCAAGACCGTCTTAACAGTTGGACACAGGCAGGGGTTTTTGTAAGGAGGGAGGAAAAAAAGAAACAGAACAGAGGAATCAAAAGGAGGGGATTGAGCGTTTTCCATTGAGGGGACTACATGCAAGCCAACACAGTCTGTTCAGATATCTGGTTGAAGGTCAGCAAATCTCCCGAAGCTGGAATGTCTAAAGGTCTGAGTCTACTTCTTTTGCAGTTCCCAGAATTCTTAAGCAAACAGACTGTTTATCTGCAGTCACATATTATTTAACAGGTCATCATTTGTAGAAATAATGTTAAAAGAATGGTTATAGTAAAATGGCGTCAGATCTTCCTCAGAAAGTTGTGATGTGAATTATTGACTCATGCTCATTGTCCTCTGAACACCTTGATGGATTTTGTATTCTGCCCATTTTATTGCTCTTATTTGGCTTTTGGAAGGTAAGCTTTTTATAGGCTCTACATAGACTATACCCCTTAAGATGTCTTCAAAAAGAGAGTAGCCTCTATTTTATATGGGAAGGCTTCACATGTCTCTTTTAATATGTTGTTAGCATGTGATTGAAAAGGAAGAACTGAGACTTCACCTACAAGCTTCCAAAGATGCCCAGAGACAACTGACATTGGAGGTAATGAAATCTTCCATTATCTTGTGTGATACAGGAGGGGGAGCAATGAATAGTTTCTTTGATCTTTGTGAATAAGATTTAAAATAAGAGAGGGTCAAGATGAAAATATGAGAGCTAAAAAGTAAAGCATTTAAAAAATTCTATCTCTGAAACCAATAACATGGCAACATCCTATTGAATAATGGGGAAAACCTTGACTTTTATAAGATTATTTAGGAATATGTGACATTTTAGCAGTTTACCTTAACTACCTCAACAGTTTTTTAAATGTCAGGAGAAATAGCAAAAATCTCTTAGTTGGTATCTACATAAAAACTCTATATATTAGATATAATTTAGTGGTTCTTTAGCAAGCAAAAGAGTCACCTGGCAGAGTGAGTTTTAAATGGAGATTCCCAGGCACCATCCCTAAAAGTTTCTAATTCAGTAGGTCTAGAATGAGGGCCTAGAATCTGCATTTTTAAATAAGCATCCCCAGCCCTGGTGATGCTAATATATAGTCCACATACTACACTGGAAGAAATCTTTGAAGTTAAAATGTACTCTGAAAAGTATGTACTCTTTAACATGCTTGTGAATCTAACAATAAAAAAGGTTCTGAAACAAGGGAGAAGAAACTACTTGTTTAGGATGATTGAGCACCCTCACATCATATACAATACTTAGTAGACTTGATCTTGTCATTTACAAACTTCAGAATGATGTTTAAAAAATATAACAGTATGCTAAATCTAACTTGACCATAGCTATTATATTTCCTCTATAAGTTTTTTTTAAGGGGATGAATCATTAAATATTGAATTGACAGTTTTGGTTGTCTCAGCTACATTGCAGATTTTTAAGAAATCATATTTATGTATAATTCTGGCCAAGACACTTCTGATTCTGGCAGCTTGAAGTATATATGTACTCTCCTTGCTTAGTTTGTTTCAGAGTCTTTGTATTGAAATGAATTATATTCAGGAACTTAGCTAGCCCTCTGGATAAAATTAATACTTATCCCAATGCCCCCACCACCACCACCACCATTGTCATTTTAGAATATAATAGAGTACACCAATTATTATCCTTTCTTCCAGCTGCATGAGTTACAAGACAGGAATATGGAGTGTCTGGGAATGTTACATGAATCCCAAGAAGAAATAAAGGAACTTCGTAGTAGATCTGGCCCTGCTGCTCATCTCTACTTCTCCCAATCATATGGAGCTTTTTCTGGGGTAAGGAGCTGAGAAAGATGTTATATATTTTGGAATATTGTTTAAGATTAGATTGTCCCGTGAGTGGTATAGCTTCTGATGGTGTAAAGCATCCTAAGAGATAACATGGATGGTCTTTTGATTTTGGCCTTAATTTGCATATCTACATCTACCCCTAATACTCTTATGTATTCTAGCCTTTCTTCTAGCAGATTACCATCCAGATTTATTGTAATATGTATATGAAATGAACCCCAGGGAAATTAGGTTTAGGTCTTTTTACCATAGAGCTACGTAAACTTGGGTCATCCTTACCCTAAGCCCACTACATCCCACTTATTCAAATAGTGCTCTTAGCATCTAAAATCTTTTTCGTAATCTTGAGTTTCTTGGTATATTTAACTTCAGTTAGAGTGTAAGGCCCATGGGGGCAGGAATCATGTTTATTTAATTCATCAATAAACGGTATTTTTAAATTACAGAAATTAATGAAAACTTCTGAGTTTATGCCAGAATTTATAATGTTGATTTAAAGACTTATTTTAACAATCTAGTTCTTAAACATGTACATCCAGTCCTGTAAAATTTTTTTAAAGACTGAAACTATAAATTAGAGTAGATTTTCTGAAGAATATTGGGGGCACATTTTTGTTTTTTAACTTTTAAATTTTGAAATAATCTTAAATTTAGAGTAAAGTTCCAACAGTAGTTAAAAAAACCCTCATATGTCCTTCACTTAGATTCCTCAATTTTTAACATTTTACTACATCTGCTATATTATTCTCTTATTTTCTTCTGGACCATTTAACAGTAAGTTGCAGATACACCCTAACTCCCCTTAATACTTCAGTGTGTATTTACTAAAAACAAAAGCACTGTCCTACATAACCACACTACCACCATCAACATCAGAAAAGTGATATCAATACAATACTATAATTGCTAGATAGTGATTTTCTAATTTTATCATGTTTTCAACATTTATTAATTATTATTCTTTTGTAAGTTAGAACTTTCCTGTCTCATTTATTCATTTGTTTGCTTAGTTATTTCAGTATGGACTCATGGATTTTTATTTTTTCAGTGGATTATACTTCATTATTACCATTTTTTATTTTGATACTCAAATTGTCCCAAGTATGGCCAGGGGCGTTTCCTTCAAACTCATCTTGCCCTTTCCCTGTCCCAGTCCTACAATCAGCCATTTCTGCAAGTTGTTCTGATAACTTTTGATGAGGAATGATATTTAGAATCAGGATCTGGGTGCTTTGTGTCCATTGCAACTAGAGTATCGTTGCTTCCAGGCCCCTCAGCAGATAAAGCTAAGAAATACACATATGTTTATACGTACGCCCTCACAGACACATCTGTATCTTCCTTTCCATCGGTGCTCATCCCAGTACCTCGAGTCCCAGTCATTGTCAGCTCAGCCCCACTGAGATGCCACCCATGCTAGTTGAATTCTCACCCCAGCCCAGGGGAAGGGGAAGGTTGCTTATTTTTCCTTTAATGATTTTTCTATATTATAAAAGCTATACATGTATATTATAGAAAAGTTAGAAATCACAGATAAACCAAAAGAAATTCTTAAATACCATCAAATCCTGCCCTCCACAGAATCACTGTTAACATCTTGGTATAGCCTTTTATACCCTTTAGTTTTATATGTCTGAATATGTAATATTTTCTATTTATATTGGTTTTTACCACTGCTTTCCTGAAAAAGTAGTTGGTTCTTATTTAAAAGTTCCAGTTCCAGAATGTCTCGTTTTTTTTCTGTATTTTCTTTTATTATAACACCAAAAGTACTGGATTCTGGAGACTCTTAATTAATTTAAGGACAGTTCATTTCTCCTTGCAGGCTTCTTAGGTAATCACTATAGGAATTTCAAACTTTTTCTTAGGAATCTCTGGCATCTGAGATTGAGGGGACCATGCGTAAAAAGTTGAGTTTGGATGAGGAATCTTCTCTCTTTAAACAAAAGTAAGTACAGATCACATACATGTGTTGTTACTCAGCCACTGGGATGGAAATTTAAAAGAAGCCACAATCCAGTGATAGCTATTATGAGATTCAGTAGTAAATCTGCTTGCTTTTCAGTTTTCTCCTCTTACTACTCACATTTGTGAGAGTTTTCTTGTTCTGAAGTTTATTTTCTGATGATCTCTCCTCAACTTTAGACACTATCCAGGGTCGCTTTATTTTTAATGAATTACATCTACACGTCTCTTTTCTAAAGCACTCCAGCAGTAGGGAGAGGCAATAATGAACATTTCTTTTTTGACAGAGCCCAGCTGAAACGGGTATTTGATACTGTCAGGATTGCCAATGACACACGGGGCTGCTCTATCCCATTCTCAGCTCCGCTATCCATTCCAGGCTCCAACCGCTCAAGTGTCATCATGACAGCAAAACCTTTTGAGTCTGGTTTACAGCCAACAGAGGACAAAACACTCCTGAGCCAGGGGAGCAACTCAGAGGAGGTTCCAGGGTAAGAAACAGATCGTGGCAGTGATTCTGCATTTCTTGTGGCATTGCCATAACAGATTCACATACTCAAATTCCAGCACTGCTCTGTGCTGTCCCAAGGAAGTTCTGTAACTGTCAGTTTTCATTCAGTAATGATGCCATATACCATTGTTTGTAAGACCTATCATTGATATCATAAAAGTTTTTTGTAGTGAAAAAGCTATATTTAATTAAGTGTATTCAAAATGGAGCTTGCATTAAACTGTGAAACTACTTTCTTCTGTGTGGCAAAATCTGAGTCTAAATCTTCTTCTCTGAGTCTAAATCTTAATTTGTTTTAATGTGTTTGGTCATTGGCAGTTATACATAGTATCAGATGACACTCATAAACCATGCTCATAATCTCAACTGCTTTGGTGCCTTTAGCATAAACAATGAGTGTGAATGCCTATTGAGGAAAATTAGCTTGCTCTTAATTTCCTGTTCATTTAAACTTAAATTTCTTTCCACTTTTCATTGAACTGAATATGTAATTCAGTTCATTGAATTACATATAACTAGAAATTAAACAGCATTACTGGAAAGTCAGCTGCAAACTTTTGACAGATAGATGTTTGGCACCTGAGATAAATCTTTCTAATGCAGAAAGCATACTCTGAGTTTTCTATTGTATTGCCTGGACTGTAGTGAGCATGTTCACACTGACAGCTTTTGTGTCAATACTACCTTACCTAAGAAGACTGAACAGATATATGTGAATTCACACATAATAGCCAGGAGCAACTACCACTGACCTTGCTATTCTTTCTTTTGATATTCAATTAAAAGATACCTCTAATTTAAAAAATGGTGGAAAGTGAAAAAATATGTATCACCAAACTATGAAAATGCAGTATTTATAAATCTTGCTGTTTGCTTTTTAAATGTTATGTAATATTCATAGAGGATTCTATAGCTCAAAGCAGTATTTTTCACATTTCAATATTTTTGAAATTGTTTATGTCTTGCAGCTAGTGGCATATCGTAGTTTAAGGAGTAGCAAAGTTAGTAAATACAATATAATAATAAAGTATATTTTTGCCTATCTGAAGTTACTTGAAGTGATCTTTAAAAATGATATATAGTACTAATGATTTGGGTTTGTTGTTACTATTTTTGTATTCTAAATATCTAAGAGAAACTTAGATATATAAAAACTGTGTTTTTAAGATGAGTCTTTTGAACATTCACCATTGTAGAAAGGAGAGGTCTAGGTGGTGCTCATGACGCTTACAGACCTAGTCAGTGAATGTGATTTTCCCATAGGAACATTCAGAAGCTGGGTCAACAAGAACCCTCTGGAGATAGTGATTTGGCTACAGCCCTGCATCGCCTTAGTCTGCGGCGACAAAACTACTTAAGTGAGAAGCAGTTCTTTGCTGAAGAGTGGGAGCGGAAGATCCAGGTTCTGGCTGACCAGAAAGAAGGGGTTAGTGGCTGTGGCACCCCAACAGAGAGTATTGTCTCTCTCTGCACTGACCAGTCGGAGACCACAGACCTCAGCAGTGCCAGTTGTCTTCGATGTTTTATGCCTGAAAAATTACAAATTGTCAAGCCACTTGAAGGTAATAAATCAGTAAAGGCCATTTTTAAGCCATGTTCCTTGTTGACCTTTCCTTCCCCTAGAATTGAGATTTGTATTGTAATTTTAAGAGCACTATGTGCAGAAGGTATCTTTATTATCCCTGAATACCACTGTTTAGGTGACAGTGCTTTGTACAACTCTGAGGAAAATGAATGAAGAGATCTACATTCTCCAGGTCATCAGCTACCAGTTCTCTTTTACTGATTTTTTTTAATGTAAATATGAGGGAGGAAGAATAATCTTTCCTTGTCCTTTGCTAAGGAATATCATTGATCACAGTTTTTATGGTAATATAAATGGGATATAAGTAAAAATAATCTAGATGTAATACTTCACATATACTTTTCTTTTTTAAAAAGCTCTTTACCCCAGTAATATCATCTACTTAGAGGTATATGTGCCTGTATTTTTCTTTTCAGTTCTATTAATTTCAGTTGTTTCTGTTCTCTCCTAAGACAGAACTTGAATTAAAAATAAATTTCTTTGTTTTATAGAAAATTGACAGTGTTCAAATGATTCTCTTGCTATTATGAGAGTCTGCATTAGATAAAATTTTCAGTAGGAAACTTATGAGGACCCCTCAAACTCAAAGGTTCTATATATTAGTTTTATTCATTAATGATCAGTACAGGTATTTGCCAGAGTTGCCATTTTTAGTATGAAATGACTATAGTGTCATAATTAAACATCGCATCTGGTGCCAATGCTTGGGGTAATCCTTCACCAGGACTCATAGACAGGAAACATGGGGATATATCCTGCTTTTATCATTTCCTTCATTTTCCTACCCTCCCTGCAAGCCTGGGGAAAGGAGAGTCATGATTAAGCTGGGGAAGTACACACACACACAAAAAAAAAACACCGAAAATTCAAAGTGTCTTCCATCCTAGGATCCTGGCTTTTGACTTAAAAGTTTATAAGCCAAGGACGTATTGATTTTTGTCACCTGGAAAATAACAGCCCCACCTCTGAGGCACATATCTTCCTTCTCATCAATGCCTCAGCATCTTAGTTCCTGTTATCCTATAATGGCTGTTGTCTTGGTTTTTTTTCACCCTTGCTTTAAATGTACTTTTTAAAGGTAACTTTTGAAATAGAAAGATTATTATTTGTATCTTTAGCAACCTGTCAGTCTTCCACAGAGAACTTTATTTTGAAATTTTACCAAATATTAAGACCAAATAAGTAGTTTTATTATTATTATTTTTACACATGTAATTTTAGCTTCTGCTTCAAGATTTAATATTTGCAAGAAATTTACAACATGCCTTTTTATTTATTTTTGTCTTGCATTTTCAGGATCACAAACTCTGCACCACTGGCAGCAGCTTGCTCAACCAAATTTAGGAACCATTCTTGACCCACGACCAGGTGTCATCACTAAAGGCTTTACCCAGTTGCCCAAGGATGACGTCTATCACCTCTCGGATTTAGAAGAGGATGAAGAGGAAGGTATCACTTTTCAGGTTCAGCAGCCTCTTCAAGTGGAACAGAAACCTACAGATCCCAAGCCAGTAACAGGAATCTTTCTGCCCCCCGGTACATCAACAGGTCCAGTTACAGGTGAGAAGAATGCTTGGTTGAATAGTCTAGTAACTAGTAGTACTTTGCATCCTGACTTACTCTGTGGTAACTGACTAGCTCTACTTAAGTCTCACTGCAGTGTACTTAGTCTTGTAACATAATGTAAGATAATAAAAATCTATAGCATTGAGGAACAAGATGGTGGTGCAGGTAACAGATGTACCCGCCGCCTCCCATAGCCACATCAGAATTACAACTAAAATTACATCACTCAGAACCTCCTAAAATCTAGCTGCACAGATGTCCTACAACCAGGGAACTGAAGAAGCATCAAGACCAGCAGGAGGGGCAAAGACGCAGGCGGATCAGGGCTGAATTGCAGAGACGCAGCCGAGGGCCCACACCCAGTGCCGCAGTTTAAACCCGGGAGGATATCTCAGCAGCAGAGGTTTCCCAGAGGAGTGAGGGGTCGCAGCCCACAACAGGCCCCCAGGCCTAGGGTTCCAGGGCTGGGAAGAGAAGTGCCCACAACTTGCAGCTGTGAAAACCAACGGGGATTGAAGCTAAGGGGCGGAGGCTGTGGGAGCCCCAGCTTTCCTCTTAAAGGGCCAGCGCACAGACTCACTCAGACCTGCTCCCTCTGAGCCTCAGCACTGCGCAGCAACTTGAAAGGAACCTGGGACAGTCAGGAAGGAACTAACTTGCCTGAAATCGGGGCGAGAGGTGGAGGGGCAGCTTTCTCCCAGACGGAACAGCTGGCAGAGGCCATTGCTCCTTTGGCGAGTCCTCCCCGCACACAGCCGGCAGGCAAGCACCATATTTCAATCTCTAGCACCTGACTCACACCTTTGGCCCTGCCCCGGTGATTCCTGGAGACCCCGCCCCTCAATACCTGCAAGCTCATCCAAGCCATTTCCAGTGGCTTTTCTATGCAAGTGGCCTCTCCATCCTCATACTTAGGACTTTCCTAAAATCTCTCAAACAAGCAGCAGCGTGCCCTGTACTTCTTCATAAGTGGCCCCAGGCCTGGCACTAGTGGCAGCCTGCATTGGTTCATGGCTTGCCTCTCCTGGACACCTCCAACCCCAGCACAAGTAGCAGCCAACTCCAGTTTGCTGTGTAGCTCGTGCTGGGTGGCCCTGGACAAGGCACTGGCAGCGACTGACTTTGCCCCTCCTGGGAGGCCCCAGAGACAGTGCACCTGGTGGTCAGACTTGCCTATGCTGGATTACAGCCCTACCATATCCATGCACTTGGTGAACACCAAAGCTCCACTGAAGTAAATCCTGCTCCGTAGGGATTTCTCCAGTACAGCAGCTCTTTGGCTGTAGTTGCAGCTGTTCCTCACAGATGATTGGCCTGGGGGTCAATTCCTCTCAGTGACACCAACAGCAACGAAGGATCAACTACAATAGGACAGTGCACACAGCCCACACAAGGGAGCACCTAGAAGGCCCAGCTCAGGAGACTGGGGAGGCTGAGCTACTGGACCCTACAAAACACCTACTACACAAAGCCACTCTACAGATTCCAGGAGACATAGCAGCTCTACCTAACACATAGAAATAAACACCAGGAAGCAGCCAAAATGTGGAGGCAAAGAAACATGTCACAAAGGAAAGAACAGAAGAAATCTCTAGAAGAGGAACTAAATGAAATAGAACCAAGCAAGCTACTAGATTCAGAGTTCAGAATTTTGTTTATAAGGATGCTCAAGGATGTTAGTAAGACTATTAAGAAAACAAGTGAGACCATCAATGACATAATAAAGTACCAATTTGAAATGAAGGCTACATGAACTGAAAAGAATAATAATTTACAGGGAATCAACAGTAGAGTAGAGGATGCTGAGAATCAAATCAGCAATTTGGAATATGAGGAAACAGAAAACACCCAACCAGAAGAGCAAAAAGAAAAAAGAATCCAGAAATATGAAGATAGTGTAAGGATTCTCTGGGACAACTTCAAGCTGCCCAACATTCATATTATTAGGGTACCATAAGGAGAAGAAAGAGACTTTCCCCTACCTGGGGAAAGAAATAGACTTACAAGTCCAGGAAGCACAGAGGGTCCCAAATAAGAGGAACCCAAAGAGGCCCACAGCAAGACCCATCATAATTAAGATGCCAAAGGTTGCCTGGCCAGGCATGGCTCAGCGGTTGATCGTCGATCTAAGATCCAGGCAATCGGGGTTCAATTGCCGGTCAGCGCACATGCCCGGGTTGCGGGCTCGATCAATGACACTCTCATCATTGACGCTTCTGTCTCTCTCCCTCTCTTTTCCTCTCTGAAATCAATAAAGATATATTTTTAAAAAATGAAAAATAAAAAANGCCCGGGTTGCGGGCTCGATCAATGACACTCTCATCATTGACGCTTCTGTCTCTCTCCCTCTCTTTTCCTCTCTGAAATCAATAAAGATATATTTTTAAAAAATGAAAAATGAAAAAATAAATGCCAAAGGTTTGTAACAATATGGAATCTGAAACCCTATCAGTGAACTTTTCCTACTTTGTTACATTAAAATCTATTGGTCTGTCCTACACTTTGAACACATTTCCCCCCATACTTGATTTTATAACATCATGCATTGGTCATTTAGAAAATACTGGTTCACTGAGTTACGCAGATCTTCCAAATGTTGACACATTTTATTATATAATATATTAAAATCACATTAATGTTACCACCTGTCTCATCAGGTAAGTCTTTTAGTATTAGGAAGCTTTCAAGTTCTCAGTGGTAGATACAAGTTTTCCAAAATCTCATTTTCACTTGAAAGCTCAGATTCTGTCAGTGGCAGCAAATACTGTCAGCTATTTTTCTTGAAGAGACAGATTCACTACATTTATTTTCAAGAAAATTTCTGCCAGATATCCAAGTCTGAATAACTGTGATTTGTCTATTATTTGTTCTTTCAAGTAAAAATAGTGTCCCATGAAAAAGTTACAACTCAATTGCTCAAGTGCTTTTCCTCTAGTATCTCGGCATGTGGCAGAGTGCTTAACGATTACTTCCCATTTCATCACACAGAATATTAAAAATATTCAAGAGTCAAGATTTAATAAATGATTTTTACTGCTTCGTTAAGGACATTCTTACATGAATCTGGCTTCCCCCCCCAATACTATGAGTAGATAACAGTGAAGAATACTAGTACAACTTTGTGCTAAGGATCCAGCAGTTTTACCCACCATTGCTTTTGAACCAGCAGTGCAAATGCCAACCCAGTCAAAAAGGCAGATAGTGTCGTAGCATTGCTATGAAAGTAGTTTTGACCTGTAGACTCCCACAGGGTCTGTAAACCATACTTCGAACACCACTGGAATAGAGAGTTTGACTAGAAAGATTGAATGACTAGGTCTTGGTGGTTGTGTGTTTTTTAATGTATTTTTTCAGAATGTTTTCTTTTGTTTCTAAGCTATTGTTAATCCTCTTAAATTACAGTTTTTAAAGTACAGTATTAAAGAATTCAGTTGTATACTAACCAGTCAATACTAATACAATATTTATATGTATTTTATTTCCAGATTTGGGAATTTTTATATAAATGACACTTTATAAGTGCTGTATTAGAAGTAAATAATAATGATCTTTTTACACTATTAACCTGGTCTTTCAATTTTGTGTTCGATTCCCTAAAAATCTCTGCTTCAGTTGCAACCTCAAACCCAGGAAAGTGTCTGTCATGCACAAACTTGACATTCACCTTCACCACCTGTAGGATATTACATCCCTCTGATGTCACTCAGGTTACCCCCAGGTAGGTCTGGGCAATTTGAGGCCTGACTTCTTTCCTTATTATATTTTTATGAGTTCCTTTTAAAAATTACTTTCATTTTAATTTCCAGAATTTTAATTAATGCTCTGTAATAATTTGTCTTTAGAATATTTTCACATTGTATTTTCTTATTTGATCATTATAAGTCTTTGAAATAGGCAGGGCAAGTGAGTATGTGTTGTGTAAATAAAGAAAATGAGGCATAAAAAGTTAATGTGACTGGTCCAAGGGCAGATAGGTAGTAAATGGCCCAACTGGGACTATACCCACAGTTAGCCAAACTGCAAGAGTCAAGGAACTAGTCCTATCCACACCCTCACTTCTGACACCACCTGCAAGTTCAGGGTGTGCCCAAAACCACTCTCTGGTTTCATAATTTGCTAATAGGACCCAGAACTTCACTGAAAGCTGTTATGCTCATGGTGACTGTTTATTACAGGGAAAGGATAGAGATTAAAATTAGCCAAAGGAAGAAATGCATAGATCAGAGTCTTGAAGGGTTCCACTTGCAAAGCTTCCCTTGTCCTTTGGGTTCATTACTTCCCTGGCATCCAGGGAAGCTCATCCAAGTCTTAGTGTCCAGATTTTGTTTTGAAGCTTCAGTGCATAGGTTTGATTGATTGATTGATTGATTACCTATATGGTTGAACTCTCCTGCAGGTCCACTGATCCAAAGCCACCACCCTAAATCAAATGGTTGGTCTTTCTGACATGGCAGCGCCTACCCTACAACTATTGGGTGTGGCCATGCCCACCTCAAGATCTACTGTGGGCAGCCTCCATCCTAAACAAAGATACTTCTATCAGATATGGCATAAGTTACCTCCCAAAAGCTGAGAGCAAAGGCCAGAACTCTCTAGGCAAGGCGAAAGAATTTACTACACAGTCTAGAACATGAATATTCCAACACATAGTTGAGGGATCTCAGCCTAATCAACCATATTGCTGCTATTTCTCTCCTACTGGTTCCTAATTAGAATCTAAGGTAGTTTTCCAAAATACGCAGCTACTGCAGTGATATTGTTAACTAGAAGGAGAGAAGAAAAATGTAATCAAGAGTAAGGCTATAAAATAGGTAGAGGAATAAAGTGAGTGTGCACATTGTACCGTAAAGTTTTGTATATTTGCTGAGGTGGACCATGTATTTGAGTCTCAACTTTCCAGCTGCCAGTGTGGAGGGAAATAACATTATGATTCACAGTGTCTATCAAGTAGAAGCAAATCAGTTGTTTAGGGAAGCATTTGGGTGATATCCAATAAAGATCCCAATAAAGTCTGTAATGAACAGACATATCTGCAATCTTTCTCCATTGTTCTGACAATCAGGATAAACTTTATAAAATTAATTCCTGAGTAAACTCTCAGTTCAGCTTGATACCATCATATGAAGTGCACAACTTGGGAAAGGACAGGCAAATTCTATGGTAAAGTAGGGATAGGGAGGTGGGACTCTGGCAGCGCAGTGTATAGACTTCATTAGTTTAGAGGTTTTTAGTTTAACCAAGTAGTCAGTTGTTTGCATTTTGCTTCTTTGTTACAAGTTGGTACTTTGGAAAGTTTACCTAGTAATCCTAAACTTGCATTTTGTTTATAAGCTTTAAAAATCTTGATATCTTGATATACTGAGTATTTTCTGTTGAAGTGAAAGTTTACTATTAAATACAGTAACATTTTAACAAGGGGGGAAATTAACTAAAGAAATATCCTTCTCATTCTATCACTATTTACTATTTAGGTGTGTTTTTTTCTTTTTAACAAAACAAGAAGAAACACTCTAATAGCTGTTAAAGCTTTTATTTATTTTTAATTTTCCAGAAACATGTTCTAAATCAAGGTTGAAAAAAATTTGTTCCATGATATCCTTATACTACTATTGTTTGGAATTAACATTCTTGGAAATTGAAATTTAACAGAACTTTATTTGTTCTCAGTAATATAAAAATCGAAAGATTAAAAAGAAATAAATTTCTCCTTAGAAGAGCATGAAAGGTGTTTTCTAAAAAGTCAATTATTTACTCATGGATTGTAGTCTCTTGGCATATTTCACTTTATGAAGTGAGTGGATATGTTAATAAAAATTTCTAGAGGTTACTTTCTTTAATATTTAAATTTCTTTTATTTCTATCATAAAGTTTAATTGTATTCCCACAGACATATAGTTAAAATTTAAGAATAAATTTATCTAAGAGTACAGTAAACTTTCATGCCCTGTAAAAATAAATGTTTCAATAAGTTAATAACTATGTTACAAATTATAATTAGCCAATCATTGAATAAAAAAAATTTTTCATTCCTCAGATCTCTACCACAGAGTTCAGTTACTGATGTGTTGCCTAGTCCTCTATATTTTTGTGAATGACTACTGTAATTACTTAAATACTGACTTGGAGATGGCTTTTTATTCTTAAACTGTCTCTCCTGCATTTTCTTTTTTAAGCTCTGGGTTCCCTTCATTATCCTGTGGGAGCAGCAGTAGCAGTTCGTCAAACACGGCAGTGAATTCTCCTGCTATGTCCTATAGACTCAGCATTGGTGAATCAGTCACCAACCGACGGGATTCCACCGTAACCTTCAGCAGCACCATGAGCTTGGCCAAACTTCTACAGGAGCGAGGCATTTCTGCTAAAGTGTACCACAGCCAAGTTTCAGAGAACCCCCTTCAGCCTCTCCCTAAAGTCCTGGCTACCCCTTCCACACCCCCAAATTCACCATCTCACTCACCTTGCCCTTCTCCTTTGCCCTTTGAGCCTCGAGTACATCTCTCTGAAAATTTTTTGGCCTCCCGACCGGCTGAAACATTCCTACAGGAGATGTATGGCTTGAGACCTTCCCGGAACCCTCCTGATGTTGGCCAGTTGAAGATGAACTTAGTAGACAGGCTGAAGAGACTGGGGATAGCCAGAGTGATTAAGAGCCCTGATGCCCAGAAAAATGGAAAAAGCCAAGAGGCAGAAATTGGTCTTCGAAGACCAGACTCTACTGTTTATTTAAATTCAGGTAGCAATTTATTAAGTGGATTGAGGAGGAATCAGAGTCTCCCGATCATGATGGGTAGTTTTGGCACCTCAGGTTGCACATCCTCACACAAAATGGATATCCTGCAGGAGGACTGAGGCTCAGCAGCTAACCGAACTCCTACCGATTAGCACAGGAAGGACAGATTCGCATGATGTGTGTAGTCTGGTCTGACTGAGAGGAAAGGAATGTGCAGATGGGCTGTGAATGTGGGAAGAGGGAAGTGGAAGATTGGAAACAAGTGGGATGAGGTCCAGGTGAATGAGGTCTCATAAAGTGAAAGTGTAAATGAATAGGTCATGGGTGGAGACAGAAAAGGAACAAAAGTTTAATACACTCCTTCAGTTGGGTTTTTTGTCTTGAAAATAAAAAGTGGCCAGAAAATAAATTCAATAATATTGAAATATACCAGGAATACTTAATTTGCTAGCACATTTACTCCTGGTAATGATAGCAGAGAACACAGGTTAGGAGGAGGTGGGAAGAGTAAAGGAGCAGCTTAGTTGCCTACAAAAAGCTGTTGTGGAAGGTTGCTGGGGGAAGCTCAGCCTGTTACTGAGACGACAGTGAGGTGGCTTTTATGTTTTTTCTTGATATCTGGATAAATTACACTTCTATCACATGGCAAGTTCACAGCATTAGCAAGCAAGGAATTTTACCTTTTTCATAAGATCAGAAGACTTATGAAAAAAGTAAAAGACTCTTTGTTTCTATTTTCTATTTTCAGGCCTTTGAGTCTCTGGGAGCCCAAACACCACCCAAATTCCTTTTGTATTTGTGATTAACAAAAGTTCATTTCTTAAATTTGTATTTTTATACTTCAAAAAAACACAACATTGTGGAAGAAGGAGGGATTTATTTTAAGAAGGAAAATGGGTAAATTGGAACCAAGGAAACTTTTTCAGAATATTCTGGATAACTGTGGTGGACAAGGAATATGAACATAATTGAATTTCCTTGGAGGCTGGACAGGGTTAAATCAGAAGTACAATCAGTAGGAATTAGAGAATGTTGTATATGTATGTCTGTACATTTTTTAACAAGGAAAGTTGGTTGCAACTAAACTTTTCCAAAGTGTGCTATGCATATTTTTATTGAAAGATGACATATATTTGCACAAAAATTCTCAGGCACATTAAATTATTTATTATAAGCTGAAGTAAAACCCAGGTGCTTGCTTTGAGACTGAATTTCTAAATGTAAAATAATATTAAAACACATCTTCCTTTTTCTAGATATCTGTGAAATTATAGAATGAACTTTTTAATGGGCAAGTCAAAGCTTTTGCTTTTTCTCTGTTTTTGTTTTATTTTTACTAAATTTGTGAAATAGCAAAGTGAAACTTGGGAAATTAGGTTTCAGCATTCAGCATTGTGACAAATTGGATATGAACTGGGAAGAAACAGATCTGCTTTCTGAGTGTTGCTGATCAAGGTCTGCTCATCAGAGGACATGTGAAAGGCATGGTGGAGAGATGAGGAAGGGGGCTAATTAATTTTTTAAAATGGGAGGCACTGTCCTGACTTTTTGGTGCTTAATTGATAGATCTTTTGCTCCCTTGTTCTGAGTTAACTGAAAGGAATTTTCTGAATTCTTGATAAGAGTGTTGCTCTTATGGTTCCCACCAATACTCTTACTCCTAGGTCAGAGGAGAGTCCTTCCTCTCTCTTCTTGAGGTGCCTTTCCTACATGAAGAGCTATGTGCTCAAAGGGACAGAAAAACCAACATGCATGTAGAATGTGTGTTTTCCATGCTTTTTAGAATCTTTTCATAAAACTTTTCTAGATAAGTTTCTTAAAAACAAAGTGAAAGTATCCTCCCCCCTTCTCTCAGTCATGCTGAGGTCTGCAGACGGTAGGTACACACATATTTAGAAAGGATTTCATCACGCCCATCAGTGAATGTAAGTGTCCCTGAGTGTGGTAGGCATTGGCAGAAGAACTCCTGATGTTATGTTTCCAAAATATCTCAGTTCGTTGTTTTAAAATAGTGTTTGGGTTTCTATTCCAGAGTAACTCTGGGGTACTTATTTTAGCTGATTCTTAAAGCTTTTTATTTATTCTCTAAGAAAGTAATCTTTATGTTACCAGTTCCTAAGAGACATCAGGAAGTAAGAAAATATAGGGCCAGAGAGTAGTACAAAATGTTAAATTATGAGATTTATGTCTATTATATAAATATCTATAAATTAAATATCTATAAATTAAGATTTTGGAGTGTTCTGTATCATTAGTATACTTTTCTATACCCAATGCTAAAATGATCACTTTGGAGGCAGGACAAGGGTGTATTCACAGCCAAGTAAAGCACATCTGATTAAAGAGAACCAGACGTCAGTTTTTGAAAATTACGTTGATGTTGCTTTTCCACCAGAAGCATGATAGTTGTATACTGGTGCATGCTTGTCCCTAGAAGTGAATTCTGTCTTGAATTGGGTTTTACTGTTTTCTGAAGTTTCTGCCTAAACTCATTTTTGGTACAGCCTGAGAATCTCTATGATAACAAACTTTTGTGCAAAGTATAGTAAGAACTGGAGTCTTGTAGCAAGTTCCCCTTAATTATCTGTATGCTTTAACGTTTTAGTTTTTCTATATCAACTGTGTATGTACTTTTATGCCAGTATAGGAAACTCCAGTCTTTTCATCCCTCCTCCAATAAGGTTCGCAGTGATTATACCTCAGGTGTTTCTGAGTATCCTATTATATAGTAGGAAGGATACCTTCCTAAGCTCAGAATTAAAGGTTCTCCTGAATTATGATGACCCCACATCTTCTATAAATAACCTTAGGCATGCATTTTAGGGAAAAGTTAATGAACATTATTAAAGAAGTTTTTAAAAAAGTTTTATACTATATGTCCTATTTGACACAAATAAATAGACTTTTGCAAAGGGAGGAAGTAATTTAGAGGCAGCTCACGACTAGAGCCTCTTCTTGATAAAGATTATTTATATGCAGTATTCAAAGCCTGTTTTCTGGGGTTTTCTGACCACTCTAGTACATAATTAGTAGTATTTGTTGGTTACTAACTTTGACTTTTGACATCTGAACTAGAGCTCTTGAGTGTTTAGTGGTCCACTCCTTTCACTTTGGGTTCTTGCAGGCCTGTACTTGAGTGCATCACCAGTGTCTACACTGAGTGGTTTGCATTGCAGAGCACAACTACTTAGGAATGGCAGAGTGTCCTCTGGGGCAGCCAGGGAAATACTGGTGTTTGATATCTGGAGCTTGACTTTGTCAAATAGCTCTTTGTTGCACCTACCTTTGCTTTGTCAAATGTAAATCAGATAATAAACATGAGTATCTTCTTAAATTTTCATTTGTCTTGTGTATTTGTCCCAGTTCTTTTTATTGGTAGTCCTGCGTGAGGTCTTTCCATTATGTTGGGGGTTTTTTTGGTACATAAAAACTACCTCTACTTGCCAAACCAACACAAAACAAATCAACAGTAGTCATAAATGTATTGTATTTTCTTATATTTAAAAAAAAAAAAAAATAGAGGAAGTATCTGTATATGCCATATTTTTTTCCTTAGCAAAATAACAGCAACAAAAAATAAAATGTGAAGTCATTGATAATGCAGATCTTTAATGTGAAAAGATTGAGGAAGTATGAAGCAATTCTCTTCTTGGAGTCCACAATATACTGTTGATATTCTGTAACCACACAAAAACTTCATTTTTATATTTTTTTAATAGGACATTTGCTCCCTTCCTTCCCTTTGATTCAAACTGGCCTCATACAGCACACTGATTCACTTGCCTCTTTCACCCTTGCATGTCTACTCTCTTAATCATTAAGCCCTCAAGACGAAGAGATTCTGATTAGTATCAAATAATCTTAGGAACAAGATCAACCACAGAGGAGGTTTCCTTCAAACTAGTGATAATACCTAGGCCTCAGTAGTTTCAGCTTCAGGCCCAGAAAATTGGTAAAACCAGATGAAGTGAGGGCATGGCTGACATCAGGACCAGATTCACCAACCAGTCAGCAGAGACCACAACTGCGACCACGACCCTAACTCCCTTAGCCACCATGATTAATGATTTTCCCCCTATATAACCCATTCCCTGGAAGCCAATGGGGAGACAGATCCTTGAGCATTAGCTCACCTGTGACACTGGGAATGGGCCACTTCCTAAAAATAAACCCTTCCTTTGCTGGAAACTCCTGTTCATGTCTTACTAGGGCTTTGGTTATACCCCTTTAGTCCAATAACAATTTTTAGCTATTTAGAAACTTTCCAAGAACCTAAATTTGAAAATTGTTGGACTCTAGTAGAAAAAGTTAGTTGATGTTTTCTTTGTCACAATTTAGTTGCTGTATATTTTTAAAAATTCAGTTAATATCCATTTAGAATTACAAACATCTTGTGAGGAATAAGTGAAGTATGAGTCTCTATTTTGATATGATATTTAGCGATATTCCCAGTGTCTTTGTGTTTTCTTTCACAAACCATTCTCAGTAGATATGTTTAAGTCCAATAACCTAATGAGGGTAAAGATTTGATGCTTTCAACATCCTATCGACTTCCATTTCTGTTCTTACTAAGTTTGAGGTATGCTGGTATCAAGTTTTGATTTTAATTAGTTTTACGGGGTGTTTTTCTTTTTTAAAACAATAAGGGCCAAATGTCACAGGCCCTGAGTCTCGTTTATCCCCCAGACTCTCCCATCTCAATAAATGGCACTGTCACCTACTCAGTTGTTTAAGTTAGAAACCAAGGAGTCATCATTCATTGCCTCTTTTCCCTCACCCTGACATCTAATCGATCAAGTCCTGTTGCATCCTCTAGTCTCCATCCCACTGCTGCTCCCTCAGTTAACACCACCACTGTGCCTCAGTTGACCACTAAATTGGTTTCCCTGCCTCCTGACTAGCTTTGCATAAAATGACCTAATGTGCAAAGCTAGTCAGATCCTTTCTCTGATTAAAACTTGTCAGATTCATTAGACTAGAAGAGAAATCCTGCCATACACTCCCACTGCATTTGGTGAGGACCTTGATGTTTCACTGTGCTTTTATTGAATTTATTGTGTTTCCCCCACTCATCTCTAAGCTCTATGGAACACAGGAACTGATGTATATCCCCCACTCTCACAAAAGTGCCTGCATGCAGTACATAATAATGTGGAGTAGAATGAATGGATGAATTTACATTAATGTTTGCAAACTATGGGATGTGACCCATCAGTGGATCATGAAATCAATGTAGTGGATTTATCAGCTTTCATTTTAAATAAAAGAAAAAATAGATGAGAATAGTATGTAACAAGTATATTATTTCATACAACTTTTTATTATAGTGTGTAAAATATATTTCTTATAGTGAGTTTCAGTAAAATAAAATGAAAGCCACTGGTTTATAATAATCTTTTTTCTATAATGAGAAAAAGCAGCTTTATTGGG